CAGTCCTCCATAGGAGAACAGCGCATTGAAGACAGGTTGCTGTTCAGAAGACCAATGGGGGGACCCTCCCTGGACCCTCCCGTGACTGTCAAAGTGCACACAGGATGGAACGAAGCTGCAGGTGTTTAATTAAAGACGCCGGCAGCTAGCCTTCAGTGGGGACATGTCCTGTGTGACCAGAGACGGAGACAGAGCAAGGATGGCCTCCTGCCCGGGTCCCTGATGTAAGACTGGATGCTCTTGGACCCTCATGTCCCAAGCGATGGAAAGACCACCCCCCCCCTGCATGGCCAGACCACTGCTGTCCACTCCAGAGAACAAGCCTTGCCCACCCTGGACCTCGGGCCTCCAGCCTCCAGCCTCCAAGTATGTTAGAGAAATCCTCTCCTCTCGTCTGTTCTGAGCGCCCTGGGGGAGGAAGAGCGGGGCGGGTGCTTTCCTTCCTGCAAGGACACCAGCGCAGACCCAGAGTCTGACCACTCACAACCCTAACCCTAACCCTAACCCCACCCACTGTCCCTCACCACCGCCCCAGATGGCCATCTCTGTCCTTTATCCATCATCACCAGCCAAACCTCCAAAGAGGTTCTAGAAGCTCACAAAGGACCAGGAGCGCGGGGGTCCCTTTGAAGCCTCAGAGAAATGCACACTCTCGGGTGCCACCTGCCCTTTCAGTGATACTCGCGGGAGCTCCTGGATCAAACCCTACCTGAAGCTAACACTATGCCTGAGCATTTCAATAAAGGCTGCCCCAAAAAACCCTCCCACAATACACTTTTTTTTTTTTCTTAAGCTGGGGTCCAGGTTGGCACAGTCCCCATGCATGGGACTCCAATGGCACCTAAGGCTGAGCACATCAGCCCCAGTTGCTCTTCCGCCCAGTGCTCTGAGGTGCACGATCCCCAGGGTCACGTCCCCCCTGTCCTCCTGAGCTCCGCGTGAGATCAAGGTTCCCAGTTCCTCTTCCAGTGGCTGCCACAGTCCCGCCCCCTCTGACGTGGTGTCACCCGGGTCCCCGTGACCCTATTACCCGTCCCTTCCCTATAAGGTGATGACCCTCTGCAGAATCTCCTGAGTCCCTGGTCATGCCCAGGGCTCACTGGGTGCTACCCCCATGGGACAGGAAGTGCAGGAAGCCACAGGCGGGTGCTGGGCCATCACCTCCCACATCTGAACACACAGAGACAGAGACGGGCGGGGCTCGCTGGTGCACGCCTGTGATCCTAGCACCTGGGGAGGCTGAGGCAGGAGGATCCTGAGTTCAAAGCCAGCCTCCGCCAAAGGGAGGCCCGAAGCAACTCAGGGAGACCCTGTCTCTAAACAAAATGCACAATAGGGCTGGGGACGGGGCTCAGGGGTCAAGGGACCCTAAGTTCAATCCCTGGTACCCCCAAAATTTTTTAAAAATCCCCCCCAACCCACTCCCCATACAGAGAGCCATGATGTGGGAAATCAAGGGACCTGATTCAGTGCTGCCCACCAGGTCCAGCATGTCACCGAGGTTCCCTGCAGGGCTGGGTGTGGCTCAGGGGTGGACGGCTGGCCCAGCCTGGGGACAGCACCAGTTTCCATCCCCAGGATGGAGACAATAAATAAATAAGAGCTCAGCTAGGGGGAAATTCAGAGAAAATTCCCCAGGTCCTCCCCAAGAGWGCGAAAGGGCTTGACCTCGAAGTGGGAATGGATCTCCAGAAAACCAGGGTGTGGCCGGGAGCTTCCTCCGGGTGGGGAAGTCCACCACTCGGCCCTCCGCTGGGCACCTCGTCCCCAGGAATGTCCTCCTGGGGKCCTCTCTAGTCAGCCTCCACTATGGACGGATCCACCCTGGAGCCCACAGAGAGCCTGGTCCCATCCCCAGGGGTGGCCCAAGTTCCCTGTCTGCATTTGGGGGAAGGGAGTGTCTTGTCCTGGGGATTTCAGGATGCGTCCGGCGGACCTGGGCCTGGGGATGCACTGCCCACCTGACTTCCAAGGCTGGGGTTCAGGAGGCAGAAAGAGGAGGCCATCGAGGTTGGGACGGATCCAAGATGGTGCCCCATGGCTMGGCCACCTGAGAGGCCAGCTGTCGCGGTGGGTTTGTCATGAGGAATGGCCACAGGACACTGATGTCCTATGGGGGCCTCGTTTGGCTACTCAGTGGGGGGGGATGAGGGGTAGAGACGGAGGGGAGACGGATGGTGTCCGCCATGCAGGGCGGAGGCTGGACCGGGGTCCCCGGCTGAGCTCCCTCCAGGGCTCCAGGGGGCTCCTCCTGCCTCTCCAGCTCCTGGGGCTCCAGGTGGCCCTGGGCGGGTGGCCCCTGCTCCRGGTGGAAGCCTTTGTGACCTTCCCGATGGAGACTGACACTCACACACTTTGGCCACTGGACCCGACGGYGGCGTCCACGCAAGACCCATGAGACTACAGGGTGGGGCTTCACTCTGTGGGAGCTGCTTGGCCATCCACCGCAGACGGCGGAGGCCAGCCCCACCGCCTACCCTCTGTTGACACACGGGACCCAATGCACCCAGGTGACATTCCAGTCGTTGTGGTGCTACCTGCGGGGGCGCCCAGGTCGGACCTCTCCATGGCACACGGTAAAATCCGCACCCCTCACCCTGGGAGGGGCTGAGAGGGGCTGAGTCCCAGGTGCAGCCCATGAAGGGGACCAGGGTCCTTATAGAGAGACTCGAGAGGCCCCTGCCCTTCCCCCATGGAGGACCCAGGAGAAGGCGCCTCTGGGAGCAGGAAGCAGCCTCAGCAGATCCCACCTGGACCTTGACCCTGGACTTCATCCTCCAGAGATAGGAGCAGTAGCTGTCAATCAATGCAGGTGCCTGGTCTCTGTTAGTTTGTTACAGGGATTGGGGTGAGAGTCAAGCCTGGACACAGGGAACGTGTTCCTCACGGGACTGTGGTGGCCGCACGAGGTCCTCGTGATGTGCATCTTTCACATAAGCAAATGGGGAAAGAGAGAGATTGGCTGGAGAGCGTGGTGGGGCTCAGGAGGCTGAGGCTAGAGGATCTGCGAGTTGGGAGGCCAGCCTCAACAGCTCAGCCAAGCCCTAAGCAACTGAGTGAGGCCCTGTTTCCAAATTTWAAAAAATAAAGATATAAGCAGGGGAGGTGGCTCAGTGGGTAAGCAGCCCCGGGTTCAATCCCTAGACTGGAAAAAAAGAGGGAAAGACAAAGAAAAAACAGAGAAAAAGAAATGTTAAGAAAAATGAAATTTGGGCCTCGGAACTCACAGTAGAAGGGACTCCAGAGCCAATGAGCACTGATTTGACGGCCGTGAGATGTGCCCCACATTCTCGGGGTCCTCACGGGGGTCCAAGTGAAAGAGAAGACCCTCAATGAGGTCAAGATGCTCCCTGGTGACAAAGAGCATCATCACCCACAACAGGGACCGGGGGACACCGTCCAAACCAAGCACACCTGTGTGTGACAGGGATCTCAGGAATCCTGCCGAACGCACCCCAGAGTTCTCAGCTAGCTCCTTGCAAAGTCGTTCTAGAAGGTTCCGAGGGACGGGGTCTGGGATGAGGAAAGAATGTTTCAGTGTGGGGTGGGTTTTGCTGGGGGCCTGTCCTCCTGCCCGCCCAACACCTGGAACACGGTGGTCCTAGATCCCCCAGGAACACCTGATCGTCCTTCTTTGTGGACAGACACAAACACCTGCGGCAAAAATCAGCTTCCAACTCCTGCCCAGCCCCCTCTGTCCCTAGGGGTGGTCCCCAGAGGCAGCCACGTTCTGTTTTTAAGGTTGACACTAGCGGGGCCACCTGGAGCCACCCGTGATGTCAAACAACAGGCTCGGTGGCCGCACACACCAAACCCCGCAGCTCTGGGGACCTGGCCTGCAGACCCCCAGCCTTTCCCCAACTGACCCTGTCTGCACGTGCACCGTGTGACAGGGACAGGGTGCCCTTTCCCATTGTTGACCTGGGTGCGCGGCCACCACTGTTGGATCAGAGCTGGGGGAGCCCCGCCCCGCCCTTCTCTCCGCCAGCAAAACAGCTTGGAGATGCGCCCTGCCCGGCCTCCGGGGGGAGAGGGGGACCGGGGAGGGACAGACACCCAGGGGACAGGGAGACACAGGAAGGCGGGGAGGTGGAGGCAGAGAACACAGTGCGGCTGTCACCCTGCGCCCCTCCGCGGCTCCACCTGGCTCTTGTTTGCCAAGAAACCCAACAAGCCCCGGAGGAGCAGCCCTTGCCCCGTGGACACACACAGGACGCCCTGTCCCCTCCTCCGCTGATCTTCCCTGGCAAGCGACAAGCCTCGGTGACACCCTTAGCAACCCAGTGTCGCTAAGAAGCCACGGGCCGGCAGGCGGGTGGGTGCCAAGAGTTGAAACGGGCGCCCACGTCCGTCTTCGGATCCGCCAGCCCCTGCCCAGGACCTCGGGGCCCCGGAGAACCGGAACCCGACCTTTCCAGCCGCCCCGTCGGGTCCAATTCCGAGGCCCAGGGCGCAGCCAATGCAAAAGGGTCCAATAAAAGAACCCCAAGTCTCGCACGCACGGGACAGAAAGGCGCACTCGGTATGGAGCCAGGGCCCCCACTCAGCCCCAAGCCGCACCCCGGTCCCCAGGCGCTGCAGGACACCTGCGCTTCGGCCACTCCGGGAGGGACCTGTCCACTCCACGCGGGGCTAGTCTCCCACCCAGCTCGCCGACAGGCGGCCCTGGGGGCAGTTCCGCAGGTGCCTCTGGAGCCGCCGCCTGCCCCTGGGGGTCGCAGCCTGAGCACTGCGCGCGAGGTCCCCAGTGTTTGGTGGCTCCCAGTAACTTCTGTGACGCTCAGCCGCCCAGTCGCCTGGGTGGCGTTGCTATGGGGGCGGCGGGTGGGGGAGGGGAGAGGACACCATCAGAAACTTCGGGAGGGAAACCCGGGCGCGGGGAGTGGGGGGTGCCTGGCGACCTGGAGGAGCCTCGGTGCAGGGGCAGCGGGGCCAAGCTCCGGGGGCCCTTTGTCTGACCTCAGCGTCCCCGGCGCACGGGGGTCGCGCGTGCTACTCACCCACGGTGGCCAGGATGTCGAAGTCCTGCAGGGAGTAGCTGGGCGGCTCCGGCGAGGGCGCCTCGGGGCTGGGGCTGGGCGCGGGCGCCCCGTCGGGAGTGCTCCCCGCGGCCGCCGGAGGCT